AAATCTGAATTGAAGTTCAGGTAACATTTACCTTTTAGCCTACAAATCCTTGCAAGAAAAGCCAACACTGGGTTGAAAATGCAGATGGTCCACCACAGTGTATAGACTGTCAGGCTTGCCCTCCAGGCCAGACTATCTCACCAGAATGTGGAAATTCAAAACCATTAACACCTGATGCAACAGTGTTCTGTGTTCCATGCCAACTGGGAAAGTCATTTTCCAATGAATTTAGCATATCTGTCTGCATTCCTTGTTCATCTTGCTCCAAGGACCAGGTGGTGATGAAAAACTGCTCACGTCAAGCAGACATTGAATGTGGAAAGAGATGTTACAGCAAAGACAGGTACATCATGTAACAGCTGTACTTGAAGTGGCCATGGGGTGAAAGGGAGGGAGGGTGTCAAAGGGTGCTTGGAATTACTATAATTCCAACTTAAAATCTGATTAACTGCAGAATTTTCCTAGTTTGGCTTTGATTTACATTTAAATACCTGGCATTTGCCTATTGGTATAGGAAATTTTAGTGAAACTAGCCTGATAGAAATTAATTGTCATTGTTCAGGCATTTAATGTTTCCTTGCAGGAATGGCACAGGGGTGGTGCAGTGGAGTTTTCTCCAGTCATCAGGTTTTTCTCTGGGTCCTTAAGTTTTCCTCCCTCTGCAAAAACCAACATTTCAAATTCCAATTGACCTGTAAATGGTGGGCAAGTGGAGCCACTTAGTTGGTTGTCCATTACTAGATTGCCATTTATTTAAAATGTTGGGCAAAAATTTTAGAAAAATCAATGCTTCTAGTTTTTTTTAATTCTGTCATTGACATGATAACAAGAATGATGATGACATTGACATTTAATGTTTTACTCTATATGTCAGCCAAAAAAGATAATTTTTTATTCCTTACTCTTCCCTTTGAACAGGTATTATGATGAATCCAAAGGAGATTGTCTTAAATGTTCCAAGTGCTGCAATGATGATCGAGATGTGGTGGAGAGTGAATGTATAGAAAAGTTGGGATCTCAATCAAGCATGATCTGCTCTTTCCACAGCAGTGTCAATAGATGCAATATTAAATCAACCCCAAAATTTGTACCTCAGGTTACCACTGAATCAAGTCAGAGTTCAGCTGCCACTACATCAAGTCACATAGTCACTGTAGCCTTAACTAATACCAGTGCCGATGTGGGTTACAGATTAGAAAATATAACCCATTCTGGGGTTGGTAGTTGGTTTGCTTCTAAAAACAAGGATTGCAATAACTCTTGTATATCAATTGCAGCCACTGTGGCACTACTACTTCTGGTAATTGGGAGTGGAATTTACCTAACATGCTTTTGCAAGTCACGGTCACCAATGCATAGTTGTGTTGATCCAGGTAATTCTCAGTCAAGAATCTTACATGTGGTGTACTAGTTGTCAGAGACAAAATAAATATATTAGGGAAGATTTAAGGTATGATTTTTATGTGACAAAATCTGATCCACTAAAATTGTCACAATTAACTGTTGTTGTGTAGTATCTCCTTTACATGTTCATTATGACTTTGTGAGAAAAGAAATTTCGCCCTCTGTAACAAAAGTTAGGTGCTGTCTAATTACAAGCAATCACTAATATTATACTTGGGGGATTTTTGGATGTCCTTAATGCATTACGAATTACTTTCAATGTATAGTCAACAATTTTTACCATACTACCAACAGATGGGGGAACACATAAGAAGAAAAGTACCAAAGTTCATTATAATTCTGGATTAGCAGCAGTTGAATTATGTGAACCACTGTTAGAGGTAATGAATGTATGAGTTAGTGCCCAGGCAGTCCACTTGTAGGTGAACATGAAGTTCTTTAATTTTTAACTTTCTATTCCAGTTGGACAGAGAAAATATATGGTAATCTCTCCCATTTGAAACAGAAATGTTCTGAAGTTACAATAAAAGAAATGTGGCTCTGTAAGTCCTTTATTATCCAGAATGGTTGTGTAAGTCAGGGGTGCAGTAAGGAATTATAAGTATCATAGAAACACAAGTGAAATAATGCTCTTGTTGTTCAAGCCTTATGGTGCAATAGGGATAAAATAAAAAATGGTATAAAGTTAAAGAGGAGCCAAGCAAATTGTAAAATGGGCCAGTCTGACCCATTCATTAATTTTGTTTCTGAATTCCAGTTTATTTTATCATGATGTCTGGATGCCTGTAATTAGCGTCTACTAGTGAGGGTGCATGGCAATATTTTTGCTTCAAAACTATACTTTTTTTAGGTTTCACCTTTCATGGGTATAGTTGTACTCACTTTGATAGCTTATACATGATATAATTATCTATGCATGAGCCATTTAGGATGTATATCAATTGTGGTTTACATCGTAGGGTGATGGAAAGTTGTGTACAAGCGCTTGCCACAATGCAGAACAGTTGGTGAAGTCAGGTATAATTATTATTAATACTTGTCATGCCTACAGTGGATCTGAACTCTTCTCACAAGTTTGAAAAATGCTAAATAAATGGACTAAATAGGTAAAAATTCGAGGATTATTTTTACAGGAAAAATGCATTTAAGACATTTGCAGAAATTGAGGGCTGAGTGAATTTGAATGCTACTGCTATAAAAGTAAAAATTCCAGTGAGAGTACCCGACTGTAAAGTTCATTTGTAATTTGAAGGCCTTAGTTGTCCCAAACATGAATTGAAATTAATTCATTTGGGGAAAAAGTTTTTTTAAAATTTTTGGTGTGTGTAGTAGAAAAGAATATATCATTTAAATAGTATATTGAGTGTTATAGTCTAATTACAGTACCTTTACACAGGGATTCTCTGATATATTTTGTCATGTTCAATCTGTGTTTCAGATTCTAAGCCAATAGGAAGCTTATTGGACTCAAGTGAACTGGAAACAATTTGTGAACTTTTAGACACACCCATTGGTGGAAAACTGGCCTATGAGATAATTGCTCGTTTTTATGGTGCCAATTACTTCAAAATAAAAGCAAGGTTTCAGGATCAAAAATCAAAAGCAGTGATTGAATGGTTGGCAACTGAAAGGCCAGAACTGACAGTTTGGGAGTTTGCTAATGTGGTGAGGAGAGAAGCTGGGAGAACTGATGTTGCTAATCGGTTGAAAGCAATATTTGATGCAAAGGCCACCAAAGAATTAACTGATGTGTGAAATATGTATATAGTGTTTATTTGACATCACTCACCTCAATAGTTGACCACAAACTTTATTTGATTTTTGTAGAGATTAAGTTGAAAACGTGCATGTGATTGTTTAGTGACTGTAAAAACATATACTACAGAGATGTATGTTTGCTAAGAATGTGAGAGTGCTCAGATTCTCTTCCCCAGGACCCCTTAACACGAGCCCCCACTTACCAAAGTGGCCTGTTAGGCAGAACAAAATTTGCCTCCATTTTGAAGGAAAAATCTCAGCCTGGTTTCAAACTCAGCTGAGATTTAAGCACTGTTACATAACGTTGTTCACTTGAGAAATTTCATTGTTGTTATTGTGTTATTGTGACGCCGATTGTTTGAAGTTTCATTCCATTAACTGAGGTGTAATTGTTGATATGAGGTAATTGGTGCTGCAACAATTATCGTTCATAGTTATGAAATGAATTAACGTGTCCATCTAGTGACGGAGATGAAACTATTCTGTACACTGCTAAAACAGCTCTATTTGTATAACGAACTCAGTAATTTTTGGAACGATTTTTTAAATTTTAATTTCCCATCATATCAAGGAAATACTTTTTGGTCTATTTTTATACTAAAAGATTTATTTTTTAAGAGTAATTTTTTTTTATTTCTTAATTTAGTTCTATTTTTTTAAATTATAAATTTATGATCTGATCTGTTTATGTTATGTATCTTGGAGGTCAAGCACCATTTACAGTCACTGCGGTATTGAAGAGTGCATCTTTTATGCAGGCTTGAATAGATTTGTACATGTTTAAAGTGTCTATGTTGTCAAGTGTATTAAACGTGCCCTATCTTATGGATATTGTCTATGGAAAAAACCTTAGCCTAATTATTACTTTAGTCTTTTATGTCCAATCTTTAAACAAACGCTGTGAAGGTTTTGAAGTTCGAATCTCCCATCAGAATGGAGAAACCTCACAGCCAAGTTATTTTACCTAGAATTTTTAGATCTTTTTTTAAGGTGAAGAACACCAAAAATTTTTTGTATTGTTTTAGAATGTGTAAATATATATGTTACCATATTCAAATTTTTGTCGTTTTTACTAATTGAAGATAATTTTTAAAGTAGCAGGTTTTCAATTGAACTTTACATTTTGGTTATCAGGTGTTAAAGGAATACAATCTTTTGTATTCATTCCTCCGTAAATTGTATGTATTTATGCGTTCATTATAGCTTTAATAGCCAGCCATTTTCATGCACCGAATGTACCTGTAGAAATAAGTAGATGAAGACTTGTAGCGGTTTAAGTCTTTTTAACTAGATTATCACCTGGTGTCAGTTCACTTCGCACATCTGTGTAAGTCAACGATGGTGTATATATCGTTTACTTTTAATAAAATATTCTTATTTTATGAATTATTCTTTGCCTACATTTTCAATCTACAGCACTGGGGAACTATTAAATATTTTACTGTTTCATTGCATAGCTTTCTTGTCTACTTTCAATCTCAATCAACCAATTATCATCATCTCTGTCTCCTTCATCATCACCATTTCATCATTTTCACTGAGGACAGAATAAAAAGGCAATTTATTAAGGCAACTGTGTCTAGAATTCTTTTTCCGATAGGAAAAGTACAACAAAAAAGCCAAAACAATTAAAGCTAGCTGCCACCTTAATGACCTCTCCCAACCAGTGGTATATACAGTGATAAGAAGGCAACCAAAGCTAGTCACTTTAAGCATTAAATGCGACACATAAATCTTTCTCTTTAATAAAATGACAAATACAAGATAAAACAAGCACACAAAATATTAACTAATGCATATATAGTTCCCTAATTGCAAAATATTTATAAGTAATTTCAGCCAAAAGTCAGTTTGAGCACTGTAAATAATCCATCTCTAGATCTCATGGTGTAAACAAAACAAAAACAAAGAGAACATCTGAGATTTCTAATCTAATTAAAACGTTTTCTCACAAGTTTCACAAGGCATTTCACCCATTATTCGATATTAAAATTTCTGCTGCCAGGTGTGTTCCCAATATCTTAGTAAAATTTTTGTCAATGAAATGTTTAATGTAGGAGTATTTTGCTATCATGAGACATTTCTTGTCATGTATGTTTCCAGATATCAGCCACTAACTTCGAAACAAAAACTACCTTGACACATCAAACACCAAGAACATTACCAGAAACACTTATACATTTAGGTGTTATAAAGGAAAATATTTTACATTTTTGTTATCCTGGCAGCATAATGTAAGCCTGCGCCTGCACAGTGGAGAATTCGGCTATTTACACTGTACATTAGCATGAAAACGGTTAGTGAGATGGGGTAGCCCTACGGTAAGTGAGCTGAACCTTGGGTTGGGAGGTACACTTTCAAGCTTTGGCCAGGTCATCTTATTCTAAGAAAAAAAAGAGTACCACCAATTTGTCGGGAAAGCCAGAAAAAAAGGTGAGGGTTACCTTTAATGGATTAACATCCAATCTAGTATGAGTAGATGAGCTTGTGGTTGCTTCATACCACAGAAAATGAACTACCCCACCATATCATTCCCTTACTCAATAATAATAATAATAATAATAATAATAATAATAATGATTATAACAATGATAGTAATAAAGATTTAGCAGAGAGGAAGACCGAATACCCGGAGAAAAACCCTCGGAGCAGGGACGAGAACCAACAACAAACTCAACCCACATACAACACCAGGTACTAGAATCGAATCCTGGCCACAGTGGTGGGAGGCGAGTGCTCTCACCACTGCGCCATGCCTTCTATTCGTAAGTATCAAGAGTATCAAGAGTTACAATGCTAACCTCAACCAAAGTTTTAATTTTCCCTTCATCAAGCATAAGTTTAGCTCGAAAACAGATGGTGAGGTTTAGAAAAAAAATTGAATGACGTAAACTATTGTAGAGTACAGTGTAACTTAAATTTGGCACAGTGACTGATTGTTCATGAAGTTATGTTCTCAGCAAAGTAATCGGTAGATACCAGGAGTATTTCCATTATTTTCACCTCTAATCAGCTGCTGTCACTGGGCTCTGTTGAGAAAAATGTTCAAGATTAAAGTGAGCTCAGATAATAGAATTGCGACTTAGGAGATGTCATAATTGGAGCTGGTATTTCAATCGATAATCATGACACAATTTACCTTCACGACCATGCTATAAGTCTTAAATTACAATACAATTCATAAAGAGAAAGGAGGTTTGCATCACAAAATAAATAAGTTTACAAAGGTTATGAAAAACAATATTTTAATAGATGACAAGGTGGCCTCACGACTTGAAAAAAAAAATAGAAAAAATGTATTGTACATGTTGGCGATAGGCGTTCATTGGGAAAATTTATTTTGCCAAACCCACCAATTCTAACAGTCAGTATTCCTATTACCAAATGCTTGCTCAGAAAAGTACTATTCTTTAAAACTCTTTTTGCTATCACTTACTCTGAAAGTAAACGAGACTTACCCAAAATGCGATGGGAAAGTACAGGGAACACTGTGTCTCTGCATCGATGGCTAAGGTGATTTTTCCTTGTTCTTGACAAGGATTTTCGGATTCACCAACATACTGAAGTCGGAAATGGGACTTGGCTCCTGGTGCTACTCGGTTTTTGCTCTCACATTCAATTTTGGCAACTCTAAAAACCTAAAGAATCAGAAATTCATAACCGTCGAAAAGCACAGTGCGAAGAGATATAATCCTTTGCTTGATATCAGAAGACTCACTGACAAGAGTGATTGTTCACTCTTAATCCTAGAAATTCACGAGTGTCCAACAAGAACTTGACATCTATAGAAAACTATGTTTGGATTAAAAGCTAATAAAAGATGAATAACGAAACATTGAACTATCATAAAAGGTGTAATCCGGACTGAATGATTTAATTTTTGTGTTTCAAATGTACTTACAAATTCTCGGCGTCTTGCATCCTCAGGAGAGACGAAGTTTTGTTGCTGTTGATCCTCAATTTCAAATGAAATTCTAATTTGCTCGTGAACAAATACAGAATGAAAATCTTGGCTTTTGCCATTGTTAACACAAAATGAAATTTGTCTCGTTGAGTAACCTTGCTCGGTTCCCTCATTTTTGTAACTTTGAAAAATTGTCTCATATACCTTAAAGGAAAAAAAAAGATGTCCAAGTGTCAATTACTATTCAACGATGAAAACTTTGAATTGCGAAGGAATTCAATTTCCTACACTCACCTGTTGCTCTTTTTCAGGGATCATGTAAAGTATGAATAACTTTTCTTTCCTTTCTTGATGGCTCCTTTCAAAAAGGAAGAGCACCACTGTTAGACCAGGCGATGGATGCTGCACCGAATGGTCACACACATCTGCGGAGGACATGGAATAAAAATAACGTACGTAGATGCAAATAAGTCCTTCCAAAGATACGTTCATGAAAATGGTGGTCAGATATAGATTGTGAGAGTTTCTTTACACTGAACAGCTCCTCTATCGTGTTTTACGTGGCCCAGTGCTGTAAACGAAGTAAGGCAGATTTTAAGTTGAAGACTATTTTGGAAGAGTGAGATTCGTTAATTTGGACATGTACAATTATGCGGGGTTTGAAAGGGTTTTAAGTCGAGGACTAATTTGACTGGCTGGATAATGATGCGATAAACATAGCTCTCAAACAGAGAAATCAAAATCGTTACTTCTCGAATGAAAAGAAAAGAGCAGTACAGTTTACACACACCGTCTTTGAGCACAAGAGCTCAAACTTATCGAACTTACGTGGTACAGGAATTTTCTTCCGCTGAGGTTCAGAAGACACTGTTGGCAAAGATGCTGTTGTCGAGTTGCTGCAGATCTCATCTTCAAGGGATAAACTGGAAAGCGACAGCAAATGTCCCTTGTACGACTCTGGAACAACGGTTAAGAAGGTTTCTTCCGTTGTAGTTGGATTCAGGTTGGATTTATTGGGTTTTCCTTGCTGAGTGCGGTTTCGAATTATCGCTTTACTGCATAGCCTACAGACCATTTCAGGAGTTCTGCTGGACGTTAAAGTAGGTTGCCCTTCTAAACTACAGGAACAAAATTCACTTTGTTCTCTTAATCGTTCCGAAAGGTCGTCTCTACGTGCTGTCCTGGTCCGATTTTCTTCCAAGTCAGAGTCGCTGTCAGAATTATACTGTGCATCACTCCCTATGGCAAGGAGCCCCTCGTTGTTATCTCTGCCCTCTAGAGACCGATCCCCATCTTCATCGCTCTACAAAATGAAATGAAAATTGTTGTTTTAATTTTTCGGCAAACGATCTTCTATTTATATTTAAATGGAGAGCTATGGAAAACGAAAATATTGATGCAAATAAGATAACTGTTTCGAAAGTGAAGTGAAGAACAGCGGATAAAATAAAGCTACAATTGTAAGTGGCGAGGGACAATTGCTATCAGTGCTCAGAATTTACCATATTGTCTCTGTTTGTATTTTCTGCGGCCATTGCTTCAGTATCTTTCCAAGACCACAATTCATTAATCTGCTTAGCAGAAACTGAAGGATATCTCGCCTTTAGGGTCACAGTAACTAAAACGTAAGCTAAAATTTATTCACGTGACCTACTCTTTGTCCCTTTGATTGGTTTTCGCTTACCCACGATTTCAATTTCATTGGTTCGACTCGGGGAATCCCCATGTCAGAACACGGGGTTTTCCCTTTCTAAAATAGGATTGTTACCTTTTAATTCATGGAAATAGCTTTCACTTTCGAAAGCTTGCTCTTCTTTGGCATAAATTTTGTCAGCAAGTTTAAACGGAATTAGATTTAACCAAACACCGAAGGACACAAGTAAGATCTGTTGCGTACTTAACCAAAACGACATAGTTTCCTTTGATATTATACATTAATTTGTGGCTTTTGTGACAGGTATAACCCAATCACGTCACTGGGACGCTTAGCACTGAAAATTTAGACTTTGAAATGGGAAACATTTTCTCTGCGATCGCTGTTGTCTGCCTACTGGTAAGTCGTTATTTCGAGCGAAATTAGAAAATTCGATGCCTCAATGGTAAATTCTATGTAAATTCGATGCCTCGATGATTCTTATGATGCTCGAACTAACTAAAAAGTACTACCTGTTATGGATGTTAAACGCTTCTAGATCAGTCGAACAAAATTTAACCGCCAACCCACGCAGAGTGTTTACGTTTCTGCATTTTTTGGTGAAAATCTGGAGTAAGAGTGGAAGCAGGAGGACGCGTCGCCGAGTTGTAGGCAGGCTACACTTACAACCTGGTCTAAATGTACTGGGTCGAGTCTTGCAAATAGCTAACGGGTCTGCCTTCAAACAGTTATGGTTTATAACCATGTCATGTTGTATTTTTTAATTATTTCTTTCACTGATTTGACTTGTCTCTTGGCCCTTATATACCATATGTACAGCCTTTGTCGTCCAAAGGGTCAATAAATCCTTTCTATTTATATAAAGATTATTTTTAGAGCTAAACATCCTAAACAGCATTTATCTCTTCCCTAACATGTACACCATTTTGATGTCGAGTCCTCTTTTATAGGTTAAGTCAGTGTCTTCAGCCATATTTTGTCAAGAAGACCATCATGGACGTGGTCTGTCCCTGGTACTCGACAGCATTACAACTCAAGCATTTAGCCTAGGATTCAGCCTTCTGATTCTTTACCTTGTGTACAGTATGTTTTCATTTGACAGCAGTTTGGC